CCCTTCTCGCTACCTTAAAAAAGTTGCATTCGAATCAAACGCGCCCTCTCGTATCAATGTGTTCGTGTATAATGACATTGCATTGACTTTTTATGGAACGAAATGACCCTTACGCTGACCCCAGTTCCCAACGCCGTGTCTGACATGGATTTGCCGACAACAAAGTGACAGTATGCAAAGAATAATACAATAGACACGGACTGACATTGAAGGGAAGCCATTCCGTGAAATATGGGAGCCTGCGTGCGTGCAACAGAAATATAAAGGCCCAAATAAAATTATAAAACGTGTGCACGGTTCGACATGTAATGGAGGGTTACTGACCGGTGTTTGGATTTAGGCCGCCTTCGTTTAAAAACTTCACAATACCATCTATGCTTTCCTTGTTACCGTTCATCTTCCAATTACCACCAACGAAGAACTTTCTTTCACTCGCCATATTTTCAATTTATTTTTTCTTGTTTTACTCCGACAAGACAGTATTCGACTAAAACCAGAATTCGAGCTATGCGGCAATTGCAAACCGGGCAACAGAGAAAGAATTTGAGGAATTATTAGTTGGCTGATTCGAACACGTCTCTCGTAATATTTCTTTTAAAATAGTCAGTTTAAAATAAATAAAAAAATGATGAGAGAGCATGATTGATTTTATACAATAAATACATTTTGGAACTACGACGGAGAAGAAATTAAGCTGAATTGAAACAAAGCTTTCTAAAAATGCAACGATAGTAACATCGCCCTCAACGTTTGAAGGATTACCATGTGCCAGTTTTATGTCTGGAAAGCGAAATTTATCGTTCAGATTTATCGTTGGACCAGGGACTGTAGTTGGACTAACGATCCCAGTGTTACTCTATGATTGATTTTTATTACTTTACCTTTTTATTTTTTGCAATTCATCTTTTATTCTGAGACCTTATTGCAGTAATCACTATTGTGTGAAATAAATAAATTCATATTGGTAATGTGTATTTACGTCACTAATTTCGTGAATGTAAATTAATAGATTGATAATACCGTTTCGACATGTACACGTATATGTAGTAAAAATCAACGAATAGAATTCAGAGCACTCTTCAAATTCTTCTTTAAATAACAAGCTTTGGTGTACTTAGTGGCACTCAGGCTCGAATATCGTAATGCCAGGGCGGCAAAGTCACGCACCCAACCACCATGTGACCGCCATCTGCAACCAGTGATGTATGTGTCAGGAACACTTGGAAAATTACAGCAGTAGTGTCTCAAAAATAGATAAAGGGATGTTACATAAATTCTAAAGTTAAAGGCAATTAAAACAATAAAAGAGCAGTGAATGTCATAAAGTATTAAATTAAATTAATCTTTAATTTTAATTCCCAATGTTTGTTGAGACAGTTACATTTAATACTATATTGTCAAGAGATTAATTAAGATAAGTACACCATTGTTTAATTAACAATTATGATGATCAAGCCACTAGACAAAGAAAAAAAGCCAATGCAAAAACCTAACATACCTAAATATTACAAGTGACTATAAAAGAACATATATACATGTGTAGTTGTTTCGTGTGTTTTTTGAGGGCGTAAACTTCATTTCAATTGTCACATTGATTGTCACATTGGCAATTTGATCACGTAAGAAATGGTGAATGGTGGTATATAAACGATATGAATTACTTTCTTGCTATATCATCCACTATGATGATGTTTTTAACATAGAGTAAAATGTTAATCCGTTAGTGTATGCCCATTTATAAGTGATAATGAAAAATCGTCTGTATGGTTTTTTTTTACAAATGTATGTGAAAATGTACAATACAGACAAGCCAGACAAAGCTCAAATCAAATGCAAATAGCTGCACTATGTACAAGAGTCAATTACAGGACAACATAAAACAACAACAATAACAACAAATTATATAAAAGTTAGTCAATATAAACAAAGTATCCAAGGTCGGCTTGATATTGTAGTAAATAAAGGAACGAAACAATATGAGATATTCGAAAATCATAACCTACCGGGATGGTGATTTTACTTTTCTTATTTAGTTAGAGAGCAAATTTGCACCTTGATTCACTTTGACACAACTCCAATTAGCAAACATGTTCTATATGTCTTCTTGCTACATCACTGGTGGAAGTATTAAATAACAGTTCATATGTAAAAACATCAAATCTTACACCACTCATTATAATTAGTGTATTTTCCATGTAGCTATTTCAATATGAACATCAAATGTCTCTTCTTTGCAATATATTCTTGTATATTATTTATTAGTACGGGTTTTTCTTTTTAACTTTTTTATCCTTGGGGCCATTGCACATTTATTCATAGTAAACAATCCCAATCCTTTTTGAAATGTTCACTTTATCATTGAATATTGTTATTCTATATAATAAAGTCTATATAATAAACCCTCTCCCGAATTTGGCAATACCATGTTACCAGCTGCTATCTCGTGCTATCTTGATGTAAACTTCACCGAAACTTGCACACGATGCGAGTCCCTCAATGCTTTCATAGCCACATACACGGACATAGGTAGTTCACTGAGCACAAATACACACACGAGTTTGGTGCTACATAGTTGTAGATCCATAGCTCTCATTGTTTTGGTCTTTAGTCTTTGTGATGGTGTTTTAGCCATTTCTGACACATTTGGTTTCATTAAATTTTTATTATTTTCAGACATTAGGATTTTTATAACAATCCTAATATCTGAAAATAACAAATTTAATGACACACAATACAAGGGATAATTTTCATTAACACCAGAATATAGCTCTAAAAAAATACATAATAAAATCTATACTAGGTACTAGTACGCTAAAACACTTCTTGACACAACCCCTTTCTAAGATGGAAAATAATGATTGGATTAGTACATGGCATTTCACATCAAATAACACGAGAAGAGTCATGGTTATAATCCCAAGTCATATTGCCTTAGATACCACATGATGAAGAAAACACCGACCCCAACCGCAGTTTTACATTATTACCAGCCGCTATGTTATTTGTTTAACACTCTAATGTGTTATCACTTTTGTTTACTACCTTTTTTTTCTATAATCCATCTTCAAACTTTATCAAAATACTTATTGTATATCTCCCCATGAGTTCTCTAAACGATGTCTCAAATCCTCAAGTACAATTAAATATTTAAATATCACAGCATTGACTTACTGGCCCTTTTAAATTTGCATAGCTTGAATGGAAAGTGGTTTATCCCACTACCAATACCTAGACTATGGTTTGTCTGATTTTCTAATTTACATAGTAGTTATTACAGTGTATGATATTCGCAGTCGCGGGAGACGGGCGGGCCTGGATGATGATTCCTGAGTCAAGTGAGCTGTGTTATGGAAGTAAACGTGCAGTGTGGATACTTTTGAAATACTTTCGTTGTACTGACACTATACACGTATATGTGAACATAGTAGCATACAGTGCTGCTGGCATTGTGCAGCTGTTCTATCAATGTGGCAGAACTGGGGGGGGGGGCACTTATCTACATAGTTGCTTGTCTAATTATTTATATTACATTTATTCTCTATATATACCAAATCCCATCTAGTCTACGTGAGTAGCGCCAGCTAGTGTTCATTTATTAAATACAAAAACACTTATATATCGCGTTTTGAAATAATGCATTTACTACTAAGTACATTTCTCACATCGTGACAGTTGCAGTGATATACATTTGCAATGTGGCAATCTAAACATCAAAACACTTACAGGGCCTTAAAATAGAAGACATAAAAAGATTATTATCAGACCTGCACTGCAGATAAACTCTCAGCTCTGATTTATTTTTATAAAAAAGTGTCACTTGTTTTTAACCAATTGGTGTTTTTTGTTTTTTGGAGAACACAAACGTTACAGTTTTGACATTTGATAATATATATTTATGTTGCAACGACCAAATGCCAAATAGAATGGGATTTACGTTGGTAAGTTTAGATTATATTATTTATATATTATGTTTAGAGCTGTTTTTGGCATTCAACGATATGTATCATTATGATCCAAAGAAACATTTGCAAAAATGATTCTCTGTTGTATGCTGCTGTATAATGTCGTTGACATACACTAGTTGTTATCGATGCAATGGGAGTTGCACTTGAAAATATATGGTTACATTTTAAGCGCGGCTTGTTTCACGACCAACACTTACTCGACCAGCTTGTGCATCACTTTGAATAGTGTGAATCACACTTTCCTTTTCAATAACAGATTATAAAAGAAAATTAATTTGCCCTCTATTAAGATAAATAACATCTTGTTTTATGAGGTATTATAAGATTGTTTCAAACTAGATTGTACAATTAGATGATTGATTAGTCGGATGGTATGAGATAAACTTGTGAACATCGACTCAGTAATTAACACATTCTTACAATTATTATTTCGCAATGAGCAACAAAAATGACAGGACTGAACAATTAAACGTAATTGCTGCTGTACTATGCCATATTCGAAGGTTTGACGAGTCGTGTGCAGCAATTGACTAAGCATGTTATACATTCAAATGAGTCTAAGGAACATTAATACTAGAGGGTATACTGGGTGTTAAAAAGTCGTTTGGATTGTCCGCTTGTAAGGTGTCGTTGCGTTGATTTCAGCAGGGGCGGATCTAGAGTTCTGGAATGGGGGGGGGGCGATAAGTTGACCAAAGGCCAAGTTCGCGAGCGCCGATGGCGCGAATCCCTTGTGAGGGCTCTGGGGGTATTCCCCCAGAAAAAAATAAATTCTAGATGCGCTCAGATGCGATTTCCAAGCACTTGGGCGCTTAATTTCCTAATATAATCCCCCATTTTTTAGGGTAACAATATCCACATCTGAAAAGTACTGAAAAGAAACCTACATTAATTATAAGAACTCCTCAACTAAATAAAATACTGTCAGGCCAGTGTAGTTAAATTATCATCCCAAAGGTGAACAACTTTTGCTATTGCATAAAGACGGCAAATGCAGAGCCTTTCTCCCGAAAGTTGTCCATAATAAAGTGCCTGACTATTGGTGGACGACAAGGGCTACTTAGTTAAAGGTTTTCTCTCATTATTAGTATTGACTCCACACCGTACATGATATGCCAATAAGATAATCTATGATAGATGCAATGCAGGGTATTATTGAATAATTCCGAAAATAATCAGAAATTAAACATCATTCGTTTTATAATCCCAGCTACATACCACAGTTTTTTTACCATTCGATATACCGGTATTTACATTACCACTCATTCTGAAATAGTTCATGAAACACTGAAAAACACCTGTCATCATTGTCCAATGGTAATTATCTGTCAATTTGATAATGGATTAGCAATGAGCACCCTTCTTGGATGTTTCCGAGCATACATATCAATGACTTTTCTGTAGTCAAGTTGAATGTCCTTATGCACGAAGAGAAGAACCAGAGCATTGAACCTGTCTTCACCCATGGTTGATCTATAGGCATTCTTCACGAATCTCAGCGCTGAATTGGTTCGCTCAACAGTGGCACTGGTTGCAGCAGTACTCGATGAGGAAGGAATAGCAT